TATTTCATATATATTGAAGGTGAACTGGGTGCTCAACACCAAATAACTGTGGTATTCTTAGTTATGAAAGAACAAAAAGTTTGACTTTCCATGTATTAAAATATTACAAAAGATAATGTATCCCCCCTAGAATAGCTTTGCTATATCAGACACAAAATAACCTATTTTATTTCTTTTTGACTTTTTTTTCTGATAACAAAGTAATATAAAATCAATGTAAGCATTAAAAAATACAGAAATTAACATAGCAAATTTACCTTCTCCAAGCATATTTTTCATAACTTGACTCATAAATATATAGAATGAACATGTCAAAGAATTTTGTACTCAATAATGAAGGAACCAGTGGGCGTTAAAATGTAGTTACCAGTGGTGTAGATGTGAGATGCTTAGGACTTGAGGGCTTGGGGGAAGACTTGGAAGGGAAGGGGCTCGCTGGGCTTGAAGCCTGGGTAGGATTTGGGCAGAAGACACGTAATTCAGAATCACACCCTGGCAAAAAGGGAGAAGGAGGAAAGTGTTAGTCCCTCAGTCGTGTCCACGCTTTGCGATCTCATGGACTGTGGTCAGCCAGGCTCCTCTGTCCATGGGATCTCCTAGGCATGGATGCTAGAGTGGGTTGCCATTTCCTTCTCCAGGGACCTTCCAGACCCAGAGCACAAACCTGGGTCTCCTGCATTGCAGGCAGATTCTTTACCGTCTGAGCCACTTAGGGAAGCCTAGTATTTACCAGTGCAACTGAGTATTTTTACACGTTTTAAAAAAGGGACTGTTAGAAGATTTCTAGTCCAGATATAAAACTTGAGGCAATAAAATCCCGTTGAGCATATCTTTTCTCCCAGGCAGAAATGACCAAGCAAATGACTGTGTATAGTTTTCCACTTCTAGAAAACGACAACAACAAAAACCTCGATACCCGATTGAATCTCCTGGTACAGCCCGACCATTGTCTAAATGATGGTATGTTTAAGCTCCAAAGCCTAACACTGTGAGTCTATTCCTATAGGTATCAGTAGTTAAAACAAAACAAAACAAAACAAAACTTGTTTGTTGGTTTCCAGGAAAGTGAGCATACCTTTCTTTTTTGAAGATGAACATTTCCCTACATCCTATAAAGAACCAAGCATGAGATAATTGCAGAGACTATCTGTAGATGCTTGAGATAAATGCAGAGAATATATGTAGATGAGAATGAATAGCTGTGTTTAATTTATTACAGAACCAGTATCAGTGTGGAGAGGAGTAAAGTTCTTTATCGCAGCATCAGGAACAATTCTTTCATAAGAATTGTATCAGCGTTGCCTCTGAGGACATGTTAAGGACAGTGAGGGCATTGACAAATCTTTAGGGCTTTCAAATCCATTTTGAAAATTGTAGACTCTCTGAAATATTTATGTAATTCACAATTTACTTGTATAAAATCATCATTTACTTTGAAATCTCTTTCCATGCATCTCTTATAATAGTGTTAAACTAGGCCAAGACATATGGAGCATTTCAAATAAATCTAATTTTTTCTATTTCCCTTTTGATTAAATGAGGAAAAACAAGCCTTTATTATTCCCCAAATGTCTCTAAGAACTCTAAACTTAGTTTTAGATAGAAAAGGCATGCATTTTTTTTTTACTAAATTTAGGGTTTGATCTAAAGGAAAGCAAAAAAGATTAGCACGGAAAATTTGGCCATCTGATTAAAATAGGCCCCTACGTGTCTAAGAACAATTAATCAGTATGGCAATATAATCCTTTAAGTAAACATGAGAGAAGAAATCTCAGCTCCTTCTGATATGAGCAATATATTTTTCATTGTTTAAATATCAAGGACATGATAAAGTCAAAACAAAATCATACATTTATTTAGATACTCTGATGAGGCATGAAAATGTCGCTGTTTGAGCATACCATTTCAATACTCCATGCCTGCTGCAGTCCATGGGGTGGCAAAGAGTGAAACACAACTGAGCAACTGAACGACTGATGGTAAGAAATGACAACATACTTCAATTATGATATTAATTGACACCTAAATTCAGTCTTGCATTAATATGTGGCAGTAAAAAATGCATCAGTTCATTTTTTAAAAACTTGCTTGAGGACAAGTTCTCTTAAAACCAATAGCTTATTGCATACATACAGTTATTTTTTCCATGCCATTATAATTCTTAGTCTAACTCAAACATCAGTACTGATGATAACTTTCAGTCAGGTAAGTTCTATTGCAGCTGAAGGTAGTGATTGATAGCTGTCAATGTCAACCATGTTGCTAGACAACAAAAGATCTGGAGCAAAATAATGGGCTACCTACTGATACCCACACTACTTTTACCCATTCTTAATGGACTAAATGGGCGTGTTCATTAACTCGACCCCCAAGTATAGCCACTCTGTAACATGCTAAAGTAACAAAAAGGGTGTGCGTATATATGTGTGTGTGTGTGTCTTGCTCCTTGGAAGAAAAGTTATGACCAACCTAGACAGCATATTAAAAAGCAGAGACATCACTTTGTCAACAAAGGTCCATCTAGTCAAGGCTATGGTTTTTCCACTGGTCATGTATGGATGTGAGAGTTGGACTACAAAGAAAGCTGAGCGCCAAAGAATTGATGCTTTTGAACTGTAGTGTTGGAGAAGACTCCTGAGAGTCCCTTGGACTGCAAGATCCAACCAGTCCATCCTAAAGGAGATCAGTCCTGGGTGTTCATTGGAAGGACTGATGTTGAAACTGAAACTCCAGTACTTTGGCCACCTGATGTGAAGAGTTGACTCATTGGAAAAGACCCTGATGCTGGGAAAGATTGAGGACAGGAGGAGAAAGGGATGACAGAGGATGAGATGGTTGGATGGCATCACTGACTCAATGGACATGGGTTTGGGTGGACTCTGGGAGTTGGTGATGGACAGGGAGGCCTGGTGTGCTGCAGTTTATGGGGTCACAAAGAGTCGGACATGACTGAGCAACTGAACTGATACTGATATATATATATATATATAAAATTCAGACTTTGTAATATTTTACAAAGTATCTAAATATTATTTGGAGGCTTCCCTGCAGGCTCAGCAGTAAAGAATCTGCCTGCTAATTCAGGAGACATGGGTTCAATCTCTGGGTTGGGAAGATCTACTGAAGGAGGACAACCCACTCCAATATTCTTGTCTGGAGAATCCCATGGACAGAGCAGCCTGGCAGGCTATAGTCCATGGTGTCTCAAAGAGTTGGACACAACTTAGTGACATCATATCTAACTCCGCGACTCCATGGATTGTAGCCTTCCAGGCTCCTGTGTCCATGGAATTCTCCAGGCAAGAATGCTGGAATGGGTAGCCGTTCCCTTCTCCAGAGGATCTTCCCAACCGAAGGATTGAACCCAGGTCTCCTGCGTTGCGGGCAGATTCCATTTGAACCACCAGGGAATCCCTAAACAAAACCAACATAATATTGTTTATTAATGATTTTATTTCATCTCATGGTAAATAAAGAGGGAAAAGGTGGAAGTAGTGACAGATTTCGTCTTCTTGGGCTCTAAAATAACTGTGGATGGTGACTGCAGCCATGAAATTAGAAGATGTTTGCTTCTTGGCAGGAAAGCTATGATGAACTTAGTCTGTATCAGTTTAGTTCAGTTCAGTTGCTCAGTCATGTTTGACTCTTTGCAACCCCATGGACTGAGCACACCAAGCTTCCCTGTCTATCACCAACTCCTGGAGCTTGCTCAAGCTCATGTCCACTGAGTCGATGATACCATCCAATCATCTCATCCTCTGTTGTCCCCTTCTCCTCCTGCCTTCAGTCTTTTGCAGGATCAGGGTCTTTTCCAAGGATCCAGTTCTTCTCATCATTGGCCAAAATATTGGAGTTTCAACTTCCAGTGAATAGTCAGTATGATCAAGGCTGTAGTCCTTCCAGTAGTTACATATGGTTGTGAGAGCTGGACCATAAAGAAGGCAGAGCACTGAATAACTGATGCCTTCAAACCGTGGTGCTGGTGAAGACTCTTAAGAGTCCCATGGGTAGCAGAGATCCAGCCAGTAAATCTTAAAGGAAATCAACCCTGAATACTCATTGGAAGGACTGATGCAGTAGCTGAAGCTCCAACATTTTGGTCACCTGATGCAAACAGAAAACTCATTGGAAAAGATCTTGTTGGGAAAGAGTGAAGGAAGGCAGAAGGAGAAGAGGTAATCAGAGGATGAGATGGTTGGACAGCATCACCAACGCAATGGACGTGAACTTAGGCAAACTCTGGGAGAAGGTGAGGGTCAAGGAAGCCTGGCGTACTGAAGTCCATGGGGGTTGCAATGAGTTGGACACTCTGACTGAACAACAACAACAACAATAATATTTGAGATAAATCCATACCTTTGGGCTAGCCTTGTCCTTAAATAAGCAAGGATATTGAACATTTTGTTAAGCTTACAGACGAAAATGACACTGAATACTTATTAATTCTTAACTAATACTTATATTAGCATAAAGTTTTAGAAGTTTTTTTTCCCCCTCAGGTTTCCTGAAACTTCATTTAGTTGCTCAATCATGTCCAACTCTTAGTGACCCCCTGGACTCTAGCCTACCAGGCTCCTCTGTCCATGGGATTTCCCAGGAAGGAATACTGGAGTGGGTTGCCATGGGTTCCCTAATATTTGGTTTAGGTGACCTTTGTTAGTCTCTATAAGCTAATTAAACAGTGCCCCTTAAGAGATTTTATAGTTCAATATATTGGTGCAACATGAAAGAAGAAACAATTTCAAAACTCACATCAAGAGGTACAGATATTTCCTAATTATAAATACATGGATACATAGAGCTTGCAGGTTTGTTTTTACAACATCAGTCACAAAAATAAGCACAAAACAATAACATCAAAAAATCAACACTGCGAGTCTCAAAGGGCTATTTTTCTTTCTAGTGGGCAAGAAATATTTTCTTCATTAAGTTCACAAAGAATGCAAATGAACAAAATAAAAAACTAAATAGACAGATTTACATCATCTCTCACCTGACTGAAAAAGATCTCCATCACCTCAGAAAAGATTATCAAATGTTCAGATCATAGAACTAGAATTCTAATCATCGCTGCAACCCAGTAAGAAATAAATTATTGGTCATACATAAAGTAGAATCAGAACCATAGTTGATCAATAACCTGAAACAAAATGAGAACAGGGGTGTGGGGGGTAAAGTACTGTCAGCATATTGGCACTTGGAAATAACTCTAAAGATCCATTCTACACCTCAATAAAATGTCAAAGATTTAATACCCATTAATGAGGAAATCACTCAAATAAAAATAGTAAAGCTTATTTCAGACACATTCAAGAAGTTGAGAATTTATTGAAGTATACGAAGGTGAAGGAGGAGTAGGGGGAAGAGAAGAGTGTTGTAAGGATAAGATTGTTAATTACATACAATCCTATTTATTGTCTTACAAGGCAATAAATCCATGCCTTTGGGCTAGCTTTGTCCACCAGACAGAAAGTTACAAGTTAATAGCAACATCACATTTTGTGAACTACAATTAAATAATAAATAGAAGGTAAAAAAAAAAAAAAAAGAAAACTCAAAAAACAGAAACACTCTCTTGGGTCCAAAAAATGAAAAGATTCTTATTAGAAAAGGTACATGATGACATTAAAAGGGCATGCTATATTGCATTTTGTTGTGGTTTTTCTTTTCCTGTTTGGAAATTTGTATATTATTCCTTGGTACCTTATAATTTCAAGTGCCAGACATTACTATTTGGTCCATAGATTTTTTTTTCTCATATATATAATTATACTTGGGGACTTTTTATGGGATCTTATATAGTTTAAAAGCTTCAAACTTCATGGTAGGATATAACTGCCTATTTCATACTTAATTCATTAATATGGCCAAATGGGGACTATTCTAGCGGTTCAGTTGCTAAGACTCTGCGCTCCCAGTGCAGGGAGCCTGGATTCAATACCTGGTTGGGGAACTAGATCCCATGTGCAGCAAGTAAAAGATCCTGCATGCTGCAAGGAAGATGGAAGAGCTTGTGTGTTGCAACTAAGACCAGGCGCAGCCAAATAAATTAGTTAATTTTAAAAAATGGCCAAATGGTTGTACATATTTTCCATTTTATCCTAATATGCCTCTGTTCGTTATATTATTACATCATATAAACAGTAAAAATTTAGATCCCCAATACTTTTAATCTGAGATTAAAGAGAAATAATTTTAGAACATAAGTGAGAGGTATGTTTCTCCATTTTGTGTTATTTTTCAGTTGAGGTGTATGTCTCAGTGGTCAGTGAGTAAATGGTTTGTGAATATGAGTCTTTGAACCATGTTCATTGTGTTGACCATTTTGTATGAAAATGACAGATACTTCTGTTCAGCTGGTTTCTCAGTAATCATGTATATTCACTAGCTTTTTCTTTAGTTTGCTTTCTCAACAAAGAGATGATATGTCTAGAGAGAATGTGTTATTCTCTACAAAGGTTCTGTGCATTTTATTTAGTTTTCCCCTAGGGGAAAGCCTGAAGGCTAGCAGTAATGTTATGATTTAGCTAGAAATTCTTGAGATGAATATGCAAGTTTGTGAGTGGCAGAAAAGGGTCTGCGATAGAGGAGTAGAAGAATAGAAAGGGAAAAGGAAAAAAAATTACTTCATATTGTAACACCTCAGCAGCAAGTAGAACTAAACATATACCATCATCTCTAAGAAATTCATTATAGGTTTATTGCAGTTTTCTTTTGTTATCTCTAGAAATAATTTTAATCTGTAGGAAAACAATATATTGAATAATACATTTTTTCTGCCCTTTTAATCTATAAAAGAATACTATTTCTTAGTTTTAAATTTCTACAATTACTTTATTTATATTTATAGTTTATCTCCTAATATTCTTAAAATTTGTAGGCTGCTAAGTGGCTGAAATTTTGTAAACTCTTCTAAAATATGCACACATTTTTTCATGTTATAGAATTTATTAAGTTGATTGAATGAATAATTTTTCTCAGACATCTTTATACTCACTAAATTGCTGGGTTAAGTCTGATTCTGGTTTTCAGTACAGCCAATCCCAATCCAAAAGGTATATCCTGATGCTAAATTGGTCTTTCTAAACCAGACATTTTCCATTATGAGGAAATCTGTTATGCATCTCATTGGTTCCCTACAGTTTCATTTCCATTTGTTCTTCCAAATCTACCAAATATATCTGTATATATCCTAATGTCAGTTATGGACTTGATTAGAAGTCATTTCCCTCAAGGGGTCTCCAAAGTTTTCCATATAAGCTGATTTGCACTATTCAGTGTTTTTAAGTTTACCTGTCAGGCGTATCCCTTCTCTGCTGTCACCCAAAATGGGTACATTGCTACATCTAAATATAATACCTAACTCGAGCTTTTTTGATATTTAGTATTATTAACTTTACATGATATATTTTAGGATATTATGGCTTAATATTTTATTAGTAAAATCAAACATATGAAAATTTCTATATTTTCCCTTGAAATTAAAAACCAACTGTCTCACAATGCATTGCACAGAGTATAACAAATTTATAACTTGACACATTTCACAAAAAGGGACCCTAATCATTTGTATCTGGGAGCCTAGAACTTACTACTAAATATTTGATGAGTATCAGTATGCTCATTTACCCCTAAGCAAATTAACTGAACAGTTTCTCAGTGACAAATATATTAAAATAAAATATTTTTTATTTGAGCTGTGTACTTTGTTGAACTGAAGCTTCGTGTTTTCTTTCTATATTTTATCAATATTGCTTTCCATATTGTCTGTTATGATCTATTTATTATTACTGTATCTTTATGTGTTTAAGGTTCACAAATACCTTATTTTTAAAATACAAAGCACAACTTTTAAAGTATAGACATTTTGGGTTTTGGATGCTATTATGGTATGTGCAGATGAATACAAATATATTTTAATATCTTTATGGTGCCGTAGTTCTTTCCGTTAGAAGTCTAAAATGTGCTCTGTATATTTTCATTTCCTTCTTCACACATGATTTGTTCCATTTTTCTGTTCAAGAGTGATTCTATAGAATAAAACTAAGAGAGTATTCAACTCTATTTGTGTATGAATATATAATTAATATTTAACATAATATAAACAAAATATTTTAGTGAGCCTGTTATGGGCAAGTCCCTGTGAGAGGCTTTAAGGAGAGAAAATAAAATCATCTTTAATATATATATCATGTATGAATAAAATATTAATAAAATTTTTAATTTCTACATGTTTTGCATATTGGAAATTGAGATAAACTGCTAGGCCTGCTTCTTGACTCCACACTTGCCATGTCAGCCACAACCAGCTTTAAGAATGCTTCATACAATTCTTTAATGCCTTTACTTTGTAGCACTCTATGGATTTCAAGGAGCTTTCAGATTCAGTGACTCATTTAACTCAGACACCTTATGAAAGAAAGTAGGCAGAAACAGGAACAGATTCAGGGTTGTAAAGTGACTTGTTTGGGGCCAAAACAGAGTAACAAGTGTCTGTGAATTTCCTTCTGACTTTGACTCCAAGCTCAGATCTTTTTTCATGATAACTTAAATTCTTTTTTCAGAAATACGTTGATTATACTGGAAATGAAACTGTTGGTGGTTGCCCGGGGCCACTTTTCTTCACTCTCTCTGGCATCTTTGTTCCCCAGTAGAGAGGACGTTGACATACTTGATGGGCTGTGTATAGACCAAAGTTCAAATTTCAGATTTGATATTTTCTCACATTGATATGGAGAATTTGAATAAGAGTCGATTTCTCTGGTCCTATTTCCCACACACTGAAATGAAAAACTGTGCAACTAAATGTTTGTTCAAATCCATTCCAGCCAGATTATTCTGTTCTAGGAACTGGTTGTTTCTATTCTCTATTACAGAATTGAACTTAGCCACAAAATGATGGATCTTACTTGTCAACAAAGAGCTTCCCAGTCATGGCTCTTTATTTTTGTATGTTCCATTATGCAAATAAATATCTAAAGTGTACTTAATAAAATGATAAACCTTCAGTTTAGAGAGGGGTCCTCAAAGTGAGAAAAACCATTTATATAATCACAGCACTTGTATATACTGGAGGACATCTTTAAACACATGTAATTTTTATAGAAATCAATGCTGACCTTCTCTACAAACACTACTTCCCAACATTAAATAGGATAAATCATTTATTTAGGAGAAGTTAATATGGCAGAATTACTGACTTTTGTAAATTTGAGATTAAAAATTCACCAGATCTTGCAAATATTTTCAGCATCTTGAATTGCTAGTCTTTTGAGCAAGAATGTTTCTTTTCAGAATGTCTTCAGCCTGATACATTATTACTATGACATATCAAATTGAGTTCTATCATGTAATAAAACATTCTGAGAAAGACATTATTTGGAAGTACAGCAGTCTCCTGTTATCTGAAGTTTCATCCATGATTTCAGTTAACCCATGGTCAGCTGAGTCCCAAAAATATGAAATGGAAAGTTCTAGAAATAATAATTCATATATTTTAAATTGCACATCATTCTTAGTAGCATGGGGCTTCCCAAGTGGCGCTAGTGGAAAAGAATCTGCCTGCCAATGCAGGAGACTTGGGGAGATCCTCTGGGAGAGAAAATGGCACTTCATTCCAACATTCTAGCCTGGAAAATTCCCTGAGTAGGGGAACCTGGCAGGCTACAATCCATGGGTCTGCAAAAAGTCAGACATGACTGACTGACTGAGCAGTGAATATCATGACGAGATCTCACGCTGGCCCACAAGATGTGAGCCACCCTTTTGTCTAACATATCCTGCTTACTAGTCACTTAGCAGTGTCTTCATTATCAGACCTACTACCTGGTATCACAGGGCTTGTGTTCAAGTCACGTGTATTTTACTTAATGGCCACGGTGCACAAAAGTAGTGATGCTGGCAATTTATGCCAAAGAGAAGCCATTAAGTGTTTCCTTTAAGTGAAAATTCTGACTTAATGAGATTAAAAAAAAAATCACATGCTGAGATTGCTAAGATGTTCAATAAGAACAGATCTTCCATCTGTGAAATTGTGATGAAGGAAAAAGAAATCCATGCACCTCAAACTGCAAAGTAATAGCTACAATACATAAATGCTCAGTTAAGATGGAAAAGGCATTATGCTTAGCAATAAGATAT